TCGGGCCGCGATCGGCCCTCGGGTGGGAAGGGGTTAAGGCAGGGGGGTGCCGAGGCGCGGGGAGCGGCGCGAGGGTCCGCGGCAGCCCCAAACTCGGGGCAGAACTTTCTGGTCTCCTCTCCGGGCTCCCCCTCACATCCCGGCGCCTCGCTCCCCCCCGGGTCGGGGGCTGCGGGGCGATGGGGGAGGGGCCGCCGGCGGAAAACCGCGGGCCGGGGCCGGGGCCGAGGCGTGGGGCGGGCTCGGCTGGCCGCGCCAGGTCCGGGGGTCCCTCGGAAGCTGGGGACTCCACCAAGGATGGAGGCGGGCCGCCTCTCCGGAAAGCGCCCTGTACGGCTGCCTTGGCGTCTCGGCTCCTCTTGCTGTCACCGAGGCGGGAAGAAGCCCGGCCGGCCTCCCTGCCTTCAGAACCGCCTGACGGCAGCGAGCCCGGGAGGGACCCTGCGAAATCGCGGGCCCCGAGGGCCGAGTCCTGAGCTGTCACAGGAGCAGGGCCCCTTACTCCGCACCCGGGGGCAGGATGGGGCGAGCCTGTCCGGATAACCGGGTGAAACTGGCCAGTAACTCCTTGGAAGCTGGAGTCCGAATTTGCTTTCGTGAGTGGTGAGGTCGAGAGTTTGCATTAGGCTGAGTGCGAGGTGGAGTTGGTAGGCTGACCTTGTGTATTGCTTAAAAGCATTTGAACTGAGAAGTGACTCGGCCCAAGTTGTGGTTTTCCTGTATTCAGTTGGCACCTGTGGACCTTTGCGTGTGCCACTTGCTACATTGTGATTACTTTGTGGCCAACACAGTTCATCTTTTAACTGCCCTCACTTATATTTGGAGATTCCGTATGTGGGAAAACTTTTTTTATATAAAAGTAATATAGGAAGGAGGATACTCTTAGAGGAGGAACATAAAGGTACATTGCCTCTCTGCCTCTGATCATATAAAATAGTATTTATCGAAAAGAACTCCAGGAAGTGGTGCTGAAGCTCAAGTGGTAGAGCACTAGCCCTGAGCTGAAGAGCTGAGGGACAGCGCCCAAGCCCAGAGTTCAAGCCCCATGACCGACAAAAAAAAAGAAAGAAAAGAACTCCAGAAAATGGAGATGGGAAGTTTTTTTCTTTAAAAGAAAATAATGTAAGAAAGTATATGTGTGTATACACATAGAGCATATGAAGTACGTGTATACATTTATGTGTATGGATATATGTGTGTTTGCATATGTATACATATATAATGCAGATGTATATATATGTAGGATGCAGGTGTTGGATTTTAGAAACTCAGTAGTTAGGGAAGACCTTGAAAAAAGTGGGTGAGGGAGAGCTCTGCACATATTTAGCAGAAGAGTAATCTAGGCAGAAGGAACAGCAAGTATAAAGGCCTGAGGGCAGGCATTATGTCGGGTAGGTTTGAGGAAGGTTAGAGTAATATGGGGTAAGCTGGAGCTGTATCTCATGGACACTGGCTGTTTCCAAGATGAAAGCCACTTACAGGGTTTGGAACAGCCCTCTATGACACAGGATCCCCATGCCTTGTTTTGAGTGTGTACACACACACACACACACACATTTAGATGTTCTGGCTCTACTTTGAAGAATTAGGATGCCACTAATGTGAAGATTAGAGAGAGGGGGATGAGGGCTGGCTGGGAGTCTTGATCATCTCAAGGCTATGCCATGGGTAGGCAAGAGGAAGAACTGGGGAAAGGACTTTGCTAAGAAAGGATTCTAGTCTTCTCGTCACTCCAGTTCCATGGAAGTGTAGAAAGATGGTCTTGTCTGAAGCCATTTATTTTGGAAAACACTAGAAGGCCTAGAAGTTTTGTTAACAGTTTGTTTTTGACTATATTAAGTTTAAAACACCTGGCAGATCTCAGGCAGGAGAATGGATGTGCGAATTTGGAGTTCACTACACTAGTTAGGGCTAATGTCAGATGAAGCTGAGATGTAGCTTATCCATAACATGCTTGTTTGACATGTACAAGGCCTGGGATTGATCGATAGCACAAAGAAAAACAATACAAAACAAAACATGGCAAGAATTACTGTAGGGTAACAGTGTTACTGTTGGGTTGTTGTCAGGATTAAACATATTTGAGATATATACACAGTGAACTGGGCAAGTACTGAATAAGTGAGGAAAAGCTACTGTTATTCTAAATGTCTATTGCTTCTGGGTTTTTACACTTTCTGTCTAGAACTCTTGTATAAAATAATGTGTGTGTGTGTGTACACATATACATGTATGCATATGTGTATCTGTGCCTGTACCGGGGCTTGAACTTAGGGCCTGGGCACAATCCCTGGCTTTTTGGGTGGTTAACTGGAGATAAGAGTCTCTTAGACTTTTCTGCCTGGGCTGACTGAACCACGATCCTGAGATCTCAGCTTCCTGAGAAGCTAGGATTACAGGTGTGAACTGCTGACACCTGACTTACCAACATAAACTCTTAATGAATATTTAAAAGAGGAAAATTTTGACTGGTGAATATTTTGTAATTGACATACACTTTACATTTCCTAGCTGTTGTTTTTCAGGTGATTGGAGTACTCTCCATACATAGATAATATTCTAGGGTTCATTCAGGTAGTAAATGGTAGAACCTGGGTTTTTAGGTCTTGCTTACTATTCTTTACCCAACACTGCCTAATCTTCTAATCCAAAGGAAAGGGTCTTCAAATTGTCTATGATGTGTTTAGATTTTTTAAACCTCATTTGGAAGAATGCAGATAAGGAAAAAAAGAATGATGTTTATATACTCATTCAAAGCTTTTTTTCTAGGCTGTTATCAAGCACTTGATCAATGAGTAGACTTTTATTCTATACTGAGATAGTCATATAATAGAACGTAACAGACTTCAATTCCATTTCTCTACAGTTTCACCAGCAGTATAACCACTACAAGTCCAATGTGGAGGTTTTCAAGTTACAACCAAATAAACCCAGCAAAGAGCTGGCTGAGCTGGTGATGTTTCTGGCGCAGGTAAGAAGATGATTTCTGAGTGAAACAAAGCTTAGTGTTACATAGTCTGCAAACTGTTTTCTTAATAATATTTAACCTCATTCCATTCTGGAGTGGAAACTTCAAGTTCTTCTAAAGCTTTACCTTATTGCAGATTTCATTTTCTTCCTGTGGTATGTCAAGCAATTTTGCTATATCGTTTCACAGAGCCCAGGCAACTGTCACTTTGTTTGTTTTTCTTCTTCAGATTCAGTTTTGAGCCATATCACAAATATTTTAGAAAAACTGTAGTTTTTAGAAAACTACCATTCTCATAGGTAGGAGGCATTAGCCTATAGCCTTCTACTATCCTTTTGCAGAACATCTAAATTTGTGCATGTGAATTATAGAGAGAAAAAGGGAAACTTCAAAAGTCTTTGCTTTGTTACAGATTGGCCACTGCTACCCAGAACATCTAAGTAACTTCCCTCAAGAGCTGAAAGAACTTCTCTCCTATAATCATACCGTCTTGGATCCAGATCTTCGAATGGTAAGAGCAGTACTTGGCTCAGCAAAATAGTATTGTGTTCATGAGGTAATAGCATGCTAACATCAAGGACCTGTTGTTGATGAGCTTATCTTTTCTCTGCCCTGTCCTGCTTTTTCCCTTTTTTTTTTCTGAGGGTACACTCCCACAAATACTTGTAATGAATCAGGCTCTGCTGCTAAGCGCCCAGCTCAAACATTTTCAAGTGTAATAAATCCATCTGTCTTTCTAACCCTTTACAGAAACCTCTTACACAAATAAATTATCAGAAAAGTGTTTACATCCTATGAAAAACTTGTAAACACCATATTCTTACATTTTGCTAGGCTATATGAATTCTATCATTTTTATACTTCTCTAGGATTTTTTATTTTTATTTGTTTGTTTGTTTGTTTATTGTCTGTCGTGGAACTTGAACTCAGGCCTGGGCCCTGTTCCTCAACTCTTCAGCTCAAGGCTAGCACTCTGTCACTTGAGGCATAGTGCCACTTCCAATTTTCTGGTGATTAATTTGAGATAAGAGTCTTAGGGACTTTCCTGCCTGGGCTGGCTTTGAACCTTGATCCTCCGATCTCAGCCTCCTGAGTAGCTAGTATTTACAGGCATGAGCCACTAGCACCTAGCTTGACTTTTTTTTTTTTTTTGAGATTAGTCTGGCAGTGTTGCCGAAATGATCCTCCCACCTCAGCCTCCTGAGTAACTGGGACTACATATGCCACCATGACCAGTTAAGAATTTCATTAATTTAACTAGGCTCAATCAAAAGGAAAATATCAGCCAAGCCTAGGTTACAGGCTGTAGTTTTTAACTGATAGGAATGTGAGTTTTGACAACCCAGGGGTTTCAAACCCCATCAGTTTTTTGTTTTTTGGGTTTTGTTTTTTTTTTGGGGGGTCCGGTCGTGGGGCCTGAACTCTGGGCCTGGGTGCTGTCCCTCAGCTCTTCAGCCCAAGGCTAGCGCTCTACCGCTTGAGCCACACTGCCACTTCTGGCTTTTTTCTTTTTGCTTATGTGGTGCTGAGGAATGGAACCCAGGGCTTCAAGCATACAAGGCAAGCGCTCTACCACTGAGCCACCTTCCCAGCCCCTTTTGGGTTTTTTGTTTGTTTGTTTTTGTATTTTTGGGTCCGGTCGTGAGGCCTGAACTCTGGGCCTGGGCGCTGTCCCTCAGCTCTTCAGCTCAAGGCTAGCACTCTACCACTTGAGCCACAGCACCACTTCTGGCTTTTTTCTTTTTCTTTATGTGGTGCTGAGGAATCGAACCCAGGGCCTCAGGCATGCAAGGCAAGCACTCTACCACTGAGCCACCTTCCCAGCCCCTCAAACCCGATCAGTTATAAGACTTTTATTTTTTGTGACTCCTGGGGCTTGAACTCAAAGCCTGGTGCTGTCCTTGAGCTTTTTTGCTAAAGGCTAGTGCTCTACCACTTGAACCACAGCTCCACTTACAGCTTTTTTGGTAGTTAATTGGAGATAAGAGTCTCACAGACTTTGTTGGTAGGGCTGGCTTCAAATCACAGTCTTCAGATCTTAATCTATTGAGTAGCTAGGGTTATAGGCATGAGCCATTGGTGTTCAACTTTTATTTATTTTGACAGTACTAGGGTTTGAACTCAGTCCTCTTGTTTGCCAGGTAGGGACTTTGCCACTTGAGCCACACCCCACTCTTAAATTTTTTGCTATTGTAAGGTGACTCTTCAAATCCTGTAGGTAATTCAGATTTGAGATTTTAAGTATACAGAGATAAGTCTTTCTGAGTAAAGATATTTTTCTTTTAGCTTTGTATATCTGGCAGTGACCAAAATGGTCTAGGGGCCTCCTGTTTCTTAAAAAAATTAGTTGTTTGCAAGAGGTATGGCTCAAGTGGTAGAGACCCAGACTAGCAAACAAGCTGCTCATAGCCCTTAGTTTAAACACTAGTACTGGCAAAAATGAATGAGTGAATGAATGAATGTTTTGAGATGGAATTTTCTATATTGGCCTCTCCACCTGGTTTGTTTTCCTGCTTTTTGTGGATGACTTGTAGAATCCTTTCCAAGTTTCTTCCTACTCTTTCCTTGTGACAGAAATAGCTTTTTTTTTTTTTTTTTTGGTGAAAACAAAATATATGTGAATGTTAACTTCCCTATTTAATAGTAAAAATTGAACTTACGTTTCTATTTCTTTGACAATGTAATTTCCTGTTGAAGTTGTTATTAACCTCTTTTTGAGCTTTAGTATCCTTTTGGTCAAATTGTGGCCACTTGACTGGGGAATATTCCTAGTCCTTTTATCAGTGCCGCTGATGTTTTAGCAAGCAACTTTATATCCTGGCAGAAGCCCCTGCTTATGGTTCTCACCCATTCTTCCTGTCCCAAGATACGGAGTCAGCTGTTCTTATTCCCACTAACAGAGTGGCATTTGAGGCCAGGATTTGGGTGGTAGGCTGCATTACATAAGCAAGAGTATGGTAAGTGCTAATGGCACTTCAGAGGAATGCCTCACCAGGAGTCACAAACTCACCTTGATTATTGCAGTATGCTGGGTTATTGCCTCACCTCTCTCTTCCCTTTGGACTCATTGATCACAAGTTGTTGTATAAAGAGACACTCCTGAGAGGACTTGTTTGGACTGTAGCTCAGTGCTAGACCACTTGCCTAGCATGCGCACAGCCCTAGGTTCTGTCCCCAGCACTGAAAGAAAACAAACCAACCAAAGAGGCCTTTCTTGACATCCCTCTGACAATTTGCCCCTCCTCGTTCAGAACTTACTGGTCCTGTTCCTGTATCATTTCCTATGTTGTAGATACCTGAGATTCTCTTATTTGGATCCTAGGAAGAGGAGAGACTATTCCCCTCCCCCTCCCCCCCTTTTTTTAAATGGTACTTACAAAATAAGCATTCTTACCATTGAGCCACACCTCCAGCCCTGGTTTTGCTGTTTGAGATTAGGTCTTATTTCCTGTCTAGGTATGTGCCTGAGTAAGATCCATCTGTGTTAGGCTTCGTGTCTTAAAGGATAACAGTTATTGTAACTGTGTTAAACTTCCTATTGCAATATACTACCCCACTGGATTTAGCAGTCACTGAGAAAGAGTCTCTTGAACTTTTCTGCTCAGACCAGCATTGAACTGGATTTCTCCTAATTTTAGCCTCCCAATTATAAGGATTTTAAGTGTGAACCATTAGAGCCCAGCTTCTCTTCCTTTTTTGAGGGGGTGGAGGTGGGGAGGACAGCATTTCACTATGTAGCTCAAGTTGGCCTTGAATTAATCTTGCTGCTTCAGTGTCCTGAATGCCAGAATTGCAGGAGTACACCCAACCCAGAGACTGTTCCGCTGCCTAAAATAGTGCTTCATTATTAAAAGGTAGAAAGATGTTTAGAATGTATGTACTGCATTTTCTTATTGGATTAACTTTACCATTGTCGTAATGGTATTTTTTTTTCCTTCCTGAGACATTTTGCAAAGCTTTGATCTTGCTGAGAAATAAGAACCTCATCAATCCATCAAGTTTGCTAGAGCTCTTCTTTGAACTTCTGCGTTGCCATGATAAGCTTCTGCGAAAGGTAAAGAGCAAAATATTTCGTCCTATATCTCATTCTACTAGAGTTTGGAATCCCTTGAATTCTCTATACATTGGATATAATTAAGAATACTTTAATAGAAAAAAATTCCACTATTGTGTGCATACAATATGGCATTAATGGCTAATAGTTACTGAGTGCCTACTGTCTTGTACATATGTTCGTGTACAGTTGTTCCAAATTTAGCAAGGTCAAAAATGATAGTTAGATTTGATGTGTATGTTCTGTTTCTTTTCCTCAGACTTTATACACACATATTGTGACTGACATCAAGAACATAAATGCAAAACATAAGAACAATAAAGTGAATATAGTAAGTACCCTGTATTTTCTCTGTTTGCAGCATTGAATAACAAGGTATTATGGGGCTGGAAAGGTAGCTCAGTGGTAGAGTGCTTGCCTCGCGTGCAAGAAGCCCTGGGTTCAATTTCTCAGCACCATACAAGCAGAAAAAGCCAAAAGTGGCACTGTGGCTCAAGTGGTAGAGCGCTAGCCTTGAGCTGAAGAGCTGAGGGACAGTACCCAGGCCCAGAGTTCAGGCCCCACAACCAACAAAAACAAGGTATTATATTAAGTCTTTCCCTGTTCTTCAGGTTTTGCAGAATTTCATGTATACCATGCTAAGAGATAGCAATGCCACTGCAGCCAAGATGTCTTTGGATGTGATGATTGAACTCTACAGAAGAAATATCTGGTAATAGATACATGCATTTTACTCTTGAGAAGTGGATCTTTTTTAATATATATAATTAATACAGGATTCAGTCTTTTTTTTAATCTTACACTCTTCATTATATCTGTGTCATGCATTAAATTGGAACTAAAACCACAGAAGACTAATAACTTTGTTTGCATCTCCTGAGCAAGTACTGACATGCTCAGTACCTTACTTCATAGTACTTCGGACCTATACTTCTTAATACCTTGTTCAGCCTTTAAAGCAAGTTGAGAAAAAAATGTGTCTAAAATCATTCCATTTTATAAGTACGAAAACAAGTTAATAGCTGGGCGCTAGTGGCTCATACCTATAATCCTAGCTACTCAGGAGGCTGAGAGCTGAGGATCACAGTTCAAAGCCAGCCCAGGCAGAAATACCTATGGGACTTTCATCTCCAGTTAACTACCAGAAAACTGGAAGTGGCGCAGTGACTCAAGTAGTAGAGTTGCTCGCCTTGAGCTGAAGAGCTGAGGGACAGCGCCTAGGCCCAGAGTTCAAGCCCCACGGCCGAAAAAAAAAAACAAACAAAAAAACAGAAGTTAATAGAATAAGAGTTTAGCTATTAAGAGCCAGGGCTAAAATTTAAACCCAGATCTGTCTAACCCCTAAACCTGTATTGGCCAGCCACTTTGCAGACTTTGAAATCAATTCATGCTGTATGTATAAAATAGTGTGTGGTGTTTCTCATTGGTACAATGCTCTGCCCCAGGTCTTTAGTACTAACTTTTACTGGGAGCAATCATTGCTGCAGAATATTTGGAGAGACAAGAAAAGCTTTTTTATTAGCCTATGTTAATAGTAGAGAAGGGTTCATTGTAATAATCTGTAGATTGGTACAGTGTACTTTGAACAAGTTTACTCCCTCTGTGATAGTCCTGTAGCCCTTCCCCCCTTTGAGTACAGTATTGGATGAATTTCATTATTCTGTCTTCATGTATATGTATAATGTACTTTGATCCCTTCACTGTCTTAGAAACCCTTTTTTTTTTTTTTTTTTT